GCAGTCAAATTGTTGAGTTTGAAGTTGGCACCTTGTTACAACAGGTCTTGTTGATGGCTAGGTAAACTGACAAGGTGAAATCTTGGACTGCTGTAGTTAGAGTTCTCATTGATATCCTAGGTTTAGGAACTTCTCTCAGCCTGTTCAATTCAGAATGTTTTCCCGGGTCTTATGCCTTTGTCTTGCTCCAGACTGAGTTTCAATCAAGGTAGAAGGGCTCAGGGGCAGGGAGAATTCAAAGGAGCATACTTGTGAGAAACTCTCCTACATTGCCAATAGCAATAATATTAACAGTGGTAACAATGATGATAATTTCTGTGTACAGTGGTGACTAAGAGTCTTAGCTGGAAACTTTGATGATACTGTGACTGTTCAAGGCAGATCTTGCACAAACAGAATGTAAAAAACAGTCCCGAAGAATTGTTGGTTTGTGTCGTATAGTGCCTTAGACTGAGGATGAGAAATGTATTTTCTTATATAGATTTTATGCCTTTTTATTTAAAAAGTTAACTGATAGTTGTATAACATTAGAAAGAATTAATTTACTTTGATATTTTAGTCGCACTCTGACATGTATTAATTCTATAGTTATAACTCATTGCATTATTTCTCAGGAGAGAAATTATGAGTAAATATATATTTATATATATATTATAACATGTTACACATGATGACTCTAAGTATGTTCTAACATACTAAATTCTGTAGTATACCAGATATTCTTATTCCTTTATTTTATTTTATTTTATTTTATTTTATTTTATTTTATTTTATTTTATTTTATTTTATTTTATTGTGGGATAGCCAGTGAACTGAGATGACCTCACGCTACAGCTTTGCTTCTCTGGAAAAATGAAGCTGTCAACAACACAGGGAAAGACTTTTAACCACAGGAAACAAATGTTCACAGGAGCTGGACTGTGCCAGGCAAAATAAGAATGACCAGCATATGTGCCCCACTAAGAACTGAATGCAAGAAGCCAATTATTCAACCTAGCTTTCCCATGATAGTCTTTTCAAACATTCAGCATCCTTAGGATACATGTTTTTCAGGATGTAAGATTAGGAAAAGTGCAAAAATGTTTAGAGGCTAGAAAAAAATTGCAACACATAATTTCCCTGGAAAATGGCTAGACATTACAATGACAGTCTGATACAATCCTGGATCAATAGAAAGTTACTTAAAAAAATAAATTTATATATTCTCCAGAAAATATAAATCAAACCACTAGGCAATATGGACTTAGTGTCATGTGTCATAAAAAATTCTATGTAATGAAGTATAAAAATACAGAATAAGTGCCTGCACCTGGTGCTCTCCTGTACGTTAAAATTTTTAATTTCTTGTGCAGTTGTGTCCCACATCTCATAGTACCAATTACAGAAGTTTAAACTGTGATAAATATTTGATATTTCAATAGCTTTTAATGATAAACACTTTTTTAATGACAAACACTTTTCACAAAGATTTTAATGAATATATTTTATATCACATGCCAAATCTTCAGTAAAATTCACAGTAGCACTGGGCTGGGATGAAGATGATCCCTCAAAACAAACAAACAAAAAAAACCACAACAACACAAACTGAAATAAACCATCAGTTTAAAAGATGTTTTTCTGTTAACCAAACTGTCTCAGAAACAGCTACTCATGGTATTCAGAAGAGTGCTATCATGGTTGTTGTGTGCCTGATATTAGGAAGTAGAATGGGAATAAATCTTCCTTAGAGAAAACGCTTTTGCGTAAAATAATCTCAACAACGTGTCTGATTTGAGTCATTCCTTCTACTGTAAAAGACAGATACATATGCAGCAAGATGTGTGTGGTATTTGGATGCTAGTGCTGGTTTGGCCTAACTCCTTTTTTCTGAGTCACATCTTCATGTGATCCCAAGCCACAGAAGATGCATAATGTCTACAGAGGGGCATGGCAGGTCCTGGAGTGATTCACAGACAGTAGCTAACTCCAGTTCCCAGAGGACCCATTCATTTATGGTGGAGCAGGTCTGGCTCATGCCAGCCGTGTTGCTGGATCCCTGAGCAACCCATTGGTTTTGGCTTTTGCAGCTGCTGTTGGCTCATTCCCTTCCATGGCCAGACATTTGAATTCTTCATCCTTTTTTGCCAGCACAGTTTTCTGACTGCCTGTGTGATTCAGCTATCAACATAGGCCAGCACTTAACTGTTTGTGCAGGGCCATGCTTTGGTGTGTAAGCAGTTAGTGAAGGGTGTAGGTTGCCCTGGTGCAACAGATCCCTGTATCTATCTGCAGCAAACAGAAGGTAATGGACTTCTGTCTGTGAGGAAAAGCTAAGAAGAACATATTCCTTTCCTATAAATGAATAAATTGGGCTTTTTGTGAGAACAAAACTGGAATTGCACAGATCAATTTCTTAAGACCAAAGGAAGCCAACAGGAAACCCTGGGAAGCCATCTCTAATGTGTGCAAAGCTGAACAAACTCCAGCAACTTGGAAATACTTGAAGGTGACTGTTACATAAATCTACAGTAAAGTAGACCTGGACAGGAGGAAAGAACGTTGAAGTAGAAAAAATCAGCTCTGACAGAAAACAGTGTAAAGGCATAACTTTGAAAAAAGTCACGTCCCAGTTTTTTTGCTTTTATAGATTTTCATACGTATAAATATATTTCTTTCTCTCCATATATATGTGTATATACATAGACACTAACCTAAAGTACCTTTGAGGACTGAAAAATTGCTCAGCAGTGGTAGAACCAGACAGGCAGTCTCCAACTGTTGGCTCTACTTAAAATAAGAAATCTTCAAAAGCTATAGTGATGTGAAGCAGTACAAAATATCAACAGAAAAACAAATGTGGGTGAGTAGACATGATGTGTTTTCCAATTCGCTGGCCAAAAACATACCTGAAGACAGATCCCTTGTGAAAGGGTCCTTAAATGTTTTGCCTGTCTGCTTCTTTTGGGAGAAATGACACAGGGAGCCATGCTTTCTTCACACAAGTAAGGCCAAATGGAGCTTGAAACAGTTCATCTCATCTGCATCCTGACCTGCCTTTTTCCTGCCATCAGGCAGGAAAACAGAAGGGTGTGAGTGAGCTGGAGCCTTACATTTGGAGCACTTTTGTGCACAGGGCAAGCATGGGACAAAAGACTGCTTAAATTTTAAAATCAGATGCCATGTGATACAAAAAAAAAAGTTAAAAAAAAAAAAAGTGGGGAGAGGGGAGAGGGAAGAAGAATCCTTCCATTCAGACCTGTGTTGTAAATACTTAAGTGTGGTTGAGCAGTGCTTACAGAATAAAATGGTGAACTAAAGAAAGAGATATTTAATAGCTGGGGACAGGGTTTCAGTTCATCAGACTCCCTGTGATGATAAGAAATGTAGGAAAGATAGAGGTGTTTTCTTGTTTGTTTGTTTTTGTATTTTTTCTTTGACAGCAGCAGTTTCTGAGGCATCTTGTGCAAACCAGGAGCATAAGAAAATTTCAATTTCTCAGAATTCTCAAAAAGAGAATAAGAGTGAATAAGTCACAGAGATGCACATCAAAAAAAAATGTGCTTCTAGCTAATGCAGACCTGTTCCAGTAATGAAATACTCTATCGCTAAAGGTGTTAAAATGCACAGAGAAACAAAAAGGAAATGTGATGCAAAAGTGAAAGAGAGAAACTCTCCCGAGCATTAGTTAAGTAATCAGAAGACTAAAAGTACTCCATTACCTAGAATAACCAGAATGCAAGCAGCTACTTTTAAGACAAGAGTGAATTTAAAGCTATAAAAAATAAATTAAAAAATTAAAATACACACAGATTTAAGGCACCAAATCTCAGTATTACCTATCAATGTTTGAAGTACAGGCTTTTAATTTTGATGGCATTTTATGTCAAAGGGCTGCTGATGAGATGAAGGATAGCAATGGCAGAGAGTTGTAGAACTGTGACAGTGATAATACTTCCTCTGTAAGAACAAAGTGATACAGATTTCCAGTAAGGTTAATGTAGAGTAAATTCATGTGACATTTTAACATTCAAAGATTTTCACTTTACACGTTCTAGGTCATATCTAACCTCCTTTGAAAGATCTAATTGCAGAAAAAGAAGTAATGAAATAGTTTGGCTGTGAGCATGGTGGCAATAGCAGAAAAGTAGGTGCAGCAAGCCTCTGACACACTTTACCACATAACGGCTTTCAAAATGTCAAATTTGTTATGATGTTACTGTTATTGGCACTTGAGCTAGTTGGGTTAAACTCAGTTATATCTGCTATGTCCACGGGTACTAGAATGATACCTTTACCTACAGCATAGTAATACACTTGAGATGAGGACAAGACATTTCTCTCTGCTGTGTATACCCACACAGGCAGAAATCGACATCCGTACTCCAATGCATGTAAAATGTACCTGACACAGCTTCTTCATTAGACAAAATTTTGTAAATAAAATTTAAAAAAAAAACACAACCTAACAACTGACCAAAAAACAACAGAAAAACAGACACCGGAATAGTGATTGAAGCTGACAGAGGCAGTGAATCTGCTAATCTGTGTTAACATGCTTATTATTTAGTTGTTGATTTTTGGGGAGGAACATGATAACCATTACAGACTACAATAGAATTTTATTTAAAGACAAAAGTCAGACTTCTGGAAATTGAAAAATATATAAAGCTGATGGTTGGAACTCTTCTCAATGATTTCTTGTAGTATAACATTTGCTGCAATAAACTATGCCCTAAATTAGACCAGAGTAACTCCATTAACTTTAGTTATATCATGGTACTAACTGAGAGTATGTTTTGGCCCTCTGGATAAAAATGTACAATGAAAACTCCACAGGGTAGAGCAGGCAGAAGAAATTTGCCCTTCAGTTGGAGCTGTCAAAGAAATTATAGGTTGTTTTAGTTATTCTTTCCAAACGTAATGAATCTTATTAATGACATAGTTATAGTTCATAGTTTCCAGTCTATGGTGGTGGTAGAACAAGTAGTGTTTATGCTCTTTGTCTTGCTATCTTGCAGGTGAACAGAGATCAACAATTAAAGCTCTTGGGCATTGACTTTTGCTGCGGAAACAGGGAGGCTGAAGCTGAGTAAACAAGATGAGTATATTCGCAGCAGCTGGCTGTGTGCTCTACAGAAATTGGCAATCACAGTTTGGGGCCAAGCTGAGGCAGAGGATGTGGAGGGCTTGGAATCGTGGACCGAGGAGTACTTTTTGCTTATTTGACATAATACCATAGCAACAAGCTGTTATGCTGCACAAGGTAAATCAAACAAAGAACTGTAGGCAGATCTTTGTGATAAAAATGAACTATTTTTTCATCCCAACTGTTGCAGTAAAAAGCAAAGAGTTGACAGTGTTAAGCACTATTAGCCAATTCAACTCCTTTAAAATTGTGACTGAGAAATAATATGCTTAGATTGTAAGAGTAAGAAAGAAGAATTTCTGTCTTGTGTTTTTTATTTCCAGAGGGAGAGATCAGAGGGGACTTTACGTGGTATGCAAGGTCATTTTCTTATTCGCTTTTGGTTCTTCTTCCTAAGATAAATGGGTTGGTTTGTCAGTGACAGAATTCCACCATTCCACATCTGGTGGAACTCAAGGGCTTGAAATCAGTGAAAGACAAATGAGGGCATTGCAAGTTGAAGTTTGTACTGAAAAGCTGCGGGACAGTCAGGGAACATCAGCTAAAACAAGCCACTAAATGTTTAGGCTATGTTAAACTCCAAGTGGCTATGCCTGAGAGACACCAGAGCCTGCGGTGTTTCTGCTGGTTTGGTGCTTGAGTTTCATAACCTGAATTCAGTCTCAGACCAAGAGCCCCCAAACTCCAGCAGTTTTTGCATCAGAAATTTTCTCAAGGAAGGATCTTTGCATCGGGTCTGATTTTTGACACCTGACATGGTTAGCAGGGACAAGTCCACACAGTTCCTCTCATTGCTTAATCTGTATGCTTTGCAATCAGATCCCACTGTCATATGTTTACAAAGAAGCATGGTAAAGTACTCCCTAAGTATGGCAGCCTAGGTACGTTGGGAGCAAAAGGTTTCCTGCATTGGGAGCTAACTCCTGCATTGAAAGGTATTAAGTTTCTATACTGGTGCAGTTTGTGTGTGCCCATTACCACTGAGTTTTGGGCTCTTCTCAAATCAGTTCCAGGTTTAGATAAAGCCCTGCTAAAATGAGTAGAAATGTTCAGCGCCCTGTGCCATCCTGCTTTCAGTCTTTTCTGGCTTAGGCAGAAGTACTACTTGGCTTGTATGTAAGACATAGTTACAGGGTTATCAGAAGGGTCAGACTGGCTATAAGCACATCTTGATCTGTGTCTAAGACATGAGAGGAAGTTGAAAATGATGAGGAAGCTGAAGAAAGTAATGTCAAAATTAAAGAAAACCCCCACAAAACCATCTAAAACATGAATAGCTTGAATATATAGAAAATATATGTGATATTCGAAGCAATAGGGAAAAAAAATAAGATTTTGGGGGAGTAGAACCTCCACCTATACACTTAAATTATGGGATGGAAAGGAAACAAAGGGAAAACAGAAAATTTTGATGAGAAAATAAACTTTTTCAAATCTGTGAGTATATGGAAACATTTCAGTTCTTGTTTTAACAGAATTGGCCTGAAAAACTGCAATGAAAAAGACCATTTGTAAAATTTGAAGTGATCTGTGAAAATAGCACTATGCTAAATAAACACCTAGGAAATCCAGGCCTTTTTTTTTTTTTTTTTTTTTGCCAGAATAGGACCCAAGATGTTTCTGTTTTCTTTCAATTCTTCTTCCTTTTTATTTATTTTTTAAATCTTAATGCATAAAGAAGAGGTACAAGACATAATACATATCATTGCCTACTTAGATAATATTGAATTATGCACTGCAATACATTCTGAATATCTGAATAATTAACTTGTCATTATCAGCTTCCTGAATTTTCATACAGTTTACGTAGCCTTAACTATTTAACTGGAATAGGAAATTCATTTACATTTATCATAACTTTCTATTAAAAGTCCCAACTGTTTCTTTAGGCCTTTTTTTTCTCTTATTTTTATAAACTACTTCTGCTTGTGCATTTTATATGACTGTCATTCCTATATTCCTTTGAGACAATGGCAAATACCCGTTAACTTTGAAAAATCCTATTTTGTAAATGCTTAGCTTTCTTATGATTTTGGTATCATACTGTGAAATTGTACTTCCTAATTCCACAGCTGGTCTCATTAGGAGTGTTGTTTGCATCCTTCCCTTGGAAAGGGGACACAGCACTGCACCCTGTGGCTAAGACTGACACAGTGCAGCTGAAGAACCAGAGAACTGGAGAATGGTTTGAGAAAGTGTCCTCCTCATTGCAGTCGATACCTTCTAGTTCACGTGTTGAAAGGGTCAGTAACTTCTTTATGTCACCTGTAATTTTGTGAGATGGCTGCCTGCTCCAAACAGAAATGGAAGACTAAAAAACTCCACAAGCCTCGTGATTAATGTAAGCATGCTTAATAGCAATTTGTGGGTGGCATTCTCTACTGGTTTGCACTTGCTGCATCAAATACTGTGAAAATGGAAAGGATTATATTCCCTAGGTATAAATGAGTGTATAAGATGAAAACTCTGGCTATTTGCATCCTGTAGTATCACATGCATTGGGAGGTAACCTGTAGCTGGGAAATCTTGGGCACATGGTAGCCTTTCCTGAGTCTGACAAGAGACAGGCACACGATGGCTAAAAATGACTAAATGTTGAATGGTGTTTGCACAACACTGCTTCTAGAAAAGTAATATGTAAAAATGTGTTGAAGAATCATCTTTAAAGATGAGTAGGCAACTGAATGTAATATTTGTATTTTAAAGATGCTTTGTTGAGCTAGAAACAGAGAGGCCTTGTTCTGGCCTTACAGAGCCAGGACAAGGAATATTTAACAGTAGAAATGACCCTGGAAACATCATGTGGCCTTGTCATTCTTGCTGTGTTCATTGTGACCTTTGCTGATCTTCTTAAAGTCTCTTGCTAGCTTTTCAGTAGCCACTGTTAGCCTGCTTTTCTGCAAGACTTTTGGGGAAGAGCACTGTAAATGTATACGTAAAAAATAAACCAAACAAAATCCACAAAAACAAACCTTTTGCTTCATGAAACAAATTTAAGAATTGAATGTGATCCTTTCAAAGTGTTAGAATTATTTTTTTTTCTTTTAAATGTCTGAAAACTTGGCTATCTTGAAGTATATATTAACAGATAAACTCACATGAAAGTGAATGACTTTTTCTGTGAAAATTCTCTTTTTCTCCTCATGACATTTTGTCTAAGCTAATGGTATCCTTGTGATCTAATGGTGTGCATATTCTTCAACATGGGTGGGGAGTCAGATAGCCAATTATTTAAATGGAACAGCTATTGAATTAGTAGGCTAAATGAAAACCAGATTATCATAATATATAAATTACATGACCACATCAGAGTGTGTGACGCTAAATAGCTGTTTGGAGTTGCTATCAGGTTCTGAGACATTTTGTGTAAAACACTGATTTCTGCTTGGCTGCTTACCACAAAGCTTGCATAAAGGGCAAGGAGAGGAAAACCAAGTACTCCTCCATTCAGAGCACTACATTTCTAATTCTGTGGTCTTTTCTTGGATGTGACACCTAGAGTAGGGCAGATTACATTACCAGCTAATGATCTGCAGAATGATATGCAGTGGTCTTTTGGTCACTCTCCTTTCTGATGCTTAACAACAGTCTATCTAAAACTGGGACAGGAGTTTAACCTGCACTTTGCCATCCATCAAAACACCATGAAGTGCATTCATTGAAGGGAGGAAGATTTGACAGGGGAAAAAAGGAAGTGGTAGTAATTGTAGACACACCAGGTGCAAGCTGGCAGCCTGCATGCATGCAGCTCATGCTTAGGAGGGCATAAAAGCTCCTCTATGTGCATGTTGGGTGGTCAGACCCTCATCCCAATTATATGGCTTGGAATCAGAAATGTCTCAATTTTCTTCCCTCAATTTACTCCAGATTAATGTAAGTGTAACTGAGATAAAACAATTGATGATAGACTGGCTGATTTTTTCTTTTTTTGTTGTTACAGACAGAACCCTGTAGACAGAAGACGGATTGGCTCACACTGGATAAATGAGTACATGGTAGTAGCTCATGCTGGTTAATAGCAATGAAGGGGCTCGGTACTTATTAAACTAAACTGGTTCTTTGCTAACATAACTACTTAAAGGTGATGTAGCTGTACCTAGTAATATAGTTTGATTTCTCAGTGCCTCCTTCAAACTGCAGCTTGGAGCAATTTCTTCCCTCTAACAGAAACTTTACTGTTGCTTGGCTTATGTGTGTTTGCTGCCTTGCTGCTTACTGCTACTTGGCCTACCACAGGTGGATGGTATTTACCAAACTGTTAAAGTTCAAAGGCTCTGTTTAGGTGGAGGGGCAAATATGGTCTGTGTTAAGCCTTGAGATGAGGTTTACTAATTTTAGTTCCTTTGGGAATCATGTTGACAGGCAGATGGTGTGTGCTTGACTGTCACCTTGAAATTGATCCTGGACGCAACCAAGCTGGGATACATCTGCAACTGGGAAATGGTGAGTGATGCCATGTCCTATACTCTAGGCACGGTCTTAGACCTTCAGTGACATCAGATGCTAGCATCTGGCTTGTGATACTGTTTTGTGCCTATAACAACTGTTTGCCTTTGCCTTGCTTAGCAGTTCTGTGTTAGTCCTCTGTCCTGCTCATCACTATAATTCTTTTGCTTTGCTGATTCAGGCCACCTGATAAAGAGGAATTTTTTGACCGCAACCTTGTAAGTGTAGGAGTGTCAGTTACTCTTCATGCATTCAATTTCATCTCTATGGATGCTATGGGCACCTACTACAAGGACTGCAGGATTTGGTGAGTAGCAGTTTTACATGCAATTCATCCTTTGCAAACTTGCAAACATTCCCTTTCAGCCCTCTTCTCTCCAAAATAAGGAGACAGTCTTTTTAGTCTCCCAGAAGCCAACTCTTTCATATATTCCTCCACTTTAGTGGCTCTTTGTATGGTATTGAACTCCACTATGTCCTTGAGATACAGGTACTCAAAACAGTTAAAGGGCAATTGCAGTGATGTTTCTTGTTGTTGTATTTGGTAACATAAATTACCAAGTTACTGTTACTTGATAATAAAAATATCTTGTATTTTTGTTGTTGTTATTCTGAGGCAGATTATTACAATTATGGTTTGAGATTTGACTGTAGAATTATCAGAGTAAGTACAGATGGCATTTGGGATATGTCTTTCATTCCATGGACTTTGGTTTGATAACTTTGTGTAATAGCTCTGTATTTCACCACTTTTTTTTTTTTGTTGTCTTTTTAACTGAATATGAGCACTCATCAAGTATCTCACATTCAGTTATAGTGCACTGATAGCACTGTCTAGCAACTGCTTTTCTCATTTCATCCTCTTTGTCCCATGTAACAATGTAAAGACCTGTCTTAAATTTTATCATCTTTATTTCCTGTGTTCTTTTCTCTTTACACTCTCAGCTATTGACTCCTATAAAGATTTGAGAGGAGGGAAAAAAGCTTGTTTGGAAATTCAATGTCCCTAAAATGGTCAGAGTCCAGAGGCTATAAAGTTTTTCTCTGCTGTGTGTTGTCTGTGGCAATACTGTCCTTCCTATAAGTTTCTCTAAATGGGTCACTGCAGTGTGCTTCATACATCATATGCTAGATTTTGTTTGTCTGTAGTACTAAGTCATGTCTTTTAAACAGAACTGGAAACTTCAGGTATGCTTATTGCCATATGTACACTGACCGATTTTTGCAAGTTTATTTCATATTCTTAAACCTTGCAGCTTTGTACTGCTCTCTCTAAAGAGTGATGTGCTTGATTATTTAGTCAAATGAGGCATTTGTTTTACTATGATTTCTTTTGGACCAGAGGCAGCCTGAAGCAGCAATGCAAAACAGCTTGTTATAATTTGACTATTTTATCTCCCAAAGGAAGAAAGTGTGTTCCATCATTAAAAATAACAGTACTGGACTTACTCCAAACCAAAATATAGCAGTATTTATAAATTAATGTTGAGAAAGGATAACAGAAGCAATTTTTGCAGGAACACTTGTAGTGTCACAAGCAAAATTGGGTACCATGGTCATGAGATAGTTTAAAACCTGAATGTGTTTCAAAATGGTGTGCAGGGACATTTAATGAAGCAGTTATTTAGACATGTTTAATGAATAGTTTGCAGTGAACACAGTATCACAAGAAAAGAGAAGACACATCAGTACATTAAACTGTCTCAGGAGGTAGATATTAGTAAAGAACCTTTAGCTAATGTACAGGAATAAAGGTCAAGAAACAAAGCCAAAGAAGACAGAAAAGGTAAACGGAAGGAAGTCAGCTAAAACAAGGTAGAATTTGACAGGACTAGAGGAACTATTATTCAGTAGTAAAGCTGGCAATCAGGGCCTAAAGGAGGACAGAAGGGAAACGTTGAGAACATTTGTGCAATAGCAATAAAAACTTGGGCTGTTGTAGAAGGGTCAGAGAGAGTGATAAGTATTTAAAAGTGCCTGTATGAATGCAAGATGCGTGTCGAAGAAAACAGAGAGACCAGAAACACACAGAATATTGGCATCATTAATCTAACTGGAATAGGGAGAGGAAGCAAAAATCTGTTAGGGATAAATACCATAAGATAATATATAGATCACGGAGAAGGGAACAGATGGGGGAGAAGGTTTGGAAATAAATAATTCTGAGAATTATGGGAGAAGACATAAGTTGGTTAAAAAAATTTGGGCGTGCTTAGAAACTCTGCTTAACCTCAGCTCCCACTGTCTGTGAAAGTGGTTTTCCAGTTGTTGAACGTGTTTCTGGTACATCTAAGTAGGACAGTTTGGAGATTTTTGAGTTATTTCTTTAACAAAGAAAAATAGAACTACAGCCACCCTCATTTTACAGTGCTCTTTCTAATCTGGCAATCCCATCCTTGGTATCTGCTTAGCTGTCCTGAGTGTTGTTGCATCCCCACATTATCAGAGCAGCTTTATTAGAGGGCAAGTGAATGACTTATAAACAACAGACCGTTGACTCTACTGGAGTTCCTGGTGAGATGCAGCACATGGAAATCCTGGGGCTGTCATGACAGCTTAAGTCCAGCTGAGGAGTTTCAGAAGAAAAAGGACATAATGCTTTTTATGGTATTACAGTACATTTATGGTGGTTTTTTTTTCTGTATCATGGTACCATACTTTCATTATACTATTTCAGAATAAAAGTAGTTGTGTCTTTTTTTTTCTTAATTTGTTTTTAATCAAGCATTGAAGCAAACATTCAAATAGCATTGAAAATTGCTTCAAAAAACAAACAACAAACAAATCAATCTATGTGGAAATGCAGTCACGTCTGTTTTGAAAAGGAAGTTTACAGCTAATTAAGCATACCTGAATGATTGCTGAGCTGCCCTGAATCCTCACCATTTTAATGTAAAGTTTAAAAATCTTTCACTGAATCAGATATTTAAAGCATAAAGGAGTAGATATCCCAGACAATATTAAAAGAGTTGGACCTGAAATCACCACTGAAAGATTTATTAGCTAGGGTGGAGCGCAGTGTGAAATTATTTCTAGTCACAGTTACGTATGAACTCTCCATCTGGTCCTTAGCTTGCCTCCCTGCTCCAACTCTAACCCCCCTTATCCTGCCTCTTGCCCACAGCTTCAGACTTGGAGGAATTGCTCACTGCCCTCCAAGTGCATAGTGCAGCTGGGCTTGTCCCAGTTGAATAAGACTGGGCCGGCAGCATTGCAGGCAGAAGACGTGATGCCAGCTGCTCTGGCAGAGCTGATACCCTATTCTTTTTGCTCCTGCCTTGCGCGTGGTATGCCTTCATACCAGCTGCAGACTGATATTTGCAGGCTGACAGACCACAGCTTGAGTGGAGGTTTCATGCTAGTAGATCAGCTCAGGTCCAGAAGCAGGAAGGGGCACACTGGTGAAGTACTGTGCTCTGAGGACTTTCTTGTGTAGGTCAGCACTGACTGATTCATAGACCTCCTGACACTTGGCCTCTGTTGCAGCCTTGTTGCAACTTCTTCCCTCCTAGTGTTGTAGTATTTGCACTTCTGCTATAGCTGGATTATTCTCCCTCAGTCACTTCATTTGATTAAATAACTGAAATTTGACTTTTTCTTTCTTTTTTTTTTTCCCATGTCTGTGGATCTGTTGTCTTAGTTAGGCATTGCAGTTTTGCTCTGTATACGCAGTTGTTAATATTTCTACCAGGTCAGAGGTTAATGTAATGCTTGGTATTTATGTGGTATTTTTCTCAGTATATTGGAGAATGATTGTATGTAGCATGAATCTTTTAAAAAATTCAACATTCTCAGCATTTCCAAGGCTGCAATAATCATTGTAGTACTTACCACTTTTTATTTTTAGTAGCAAAATAGGCATAGTTGTGGTAGATGCTATGTCCTCTTGCCAAGATGGATGACAATGTTCTCATCTCTCTCTCTCTCTCTCTCCTTCCGAGGAACCATATTTAGCAAATTGTTTGAGCATTACAACTCAAATAAGGTTTTACCTTTTATAGCTTTTAGCTTGTCTAGTTAAGCATACTATTTTCTGGGGATTTCAGCTGCTAGAGAATGTCTAAGGCTCTGAACATAACAAAACAAAGACATTTTTTCTACATCTTGAGGATACTGAAACTCTCCAACAATCCTAAAATAATTGTTACACCTCATATTTTCAAGTAACTGGCAGGAACAGTAATCTTCTACAGCTTAGTACACTCTATTAAAAATGAGTAATATACATATTGATCATAATGCTTCTCTTAGCTGATGAGGCATCTCTTGGGGATGAAACCACAGTACCATATGGCTTTAATGTACTCGATATAGTTCTCTAAATAACCACTATAAATTATATTTCAGAATTATGCTGGACAGCAATTGAGCTTGTCTTCCAAATTGTCAATAATATATTTTGAATGTAGGTAAGAAGTTGTTTATGCACAAGATGCAGCATTTAAGTAACTAAAAATTAACCATTCAATTTTGTAAGTGTGTTTTTGACACTTCGAATTACACTAATTTTAAGTTCAACATCCAATGATAAAATGGGTGAGTAATGTACCCAGCTAATTAAAATTTATACAGGAAGCAGAATGCACCATTTCTCTAGCATTGTAGCTAAAGTAACGCAACACAGTTTCCTCAAAAAGAATGAGATCCAGCATCTTAATGCAATTTTAAATGTAAATTTTTAATGGAAACATTCTTTTCAATAGGAAAGCAGTTTACTGCCCAATTCTGGCAGAGGGTGATGTAATAAATAGTTGAATTTAAATTTAGGGCATATTTAAAGATATAGTTTGGTTTTCTGAGCTTATATTATACATCTTTTCCTCAAATGTTTATTTGTCAACAAGTTAAGTCATTAACACAAATCAATTTGAATCCCAATCTGGAGCCAAATCTACCCCATGAAATAAGCACTATTACCTGTTAAACTGTAACAGCAATATTATTTTTTTATGACGTTACCAACTGGCAGAAAACATGATGGCCTTTTAAAAATCTAAACAAGGAGGGAATAAGTCAGAGACCTAGTCATCAAGTTCAGAATATGTATAATACCTGTACCCAAAGATCAGTTTCTGGCAATACTGATTCAGCCTCTCCTCCTTCAAAAGGTAAGGAAAGTGGATAACATGCAAATATCTTATGTACTCTGCTTCACATTTGAAAATGCCATGGCATTTTCTTAGGGTAGACTTTCAGCATTTTGATGAATATAATGTTGGCCTTCCTCCCACCTTTTTAACAGTCCTCTTTGTTCTGCTTTTCAATATGGCTGGAGCTGATATTGCATAGATGCTATATTCCAGGGCT